CCTCCTCCTCCTCCTTCTCCTGCTCCCCCTCCTGCCCCTGCTGCCCCTCCGATTCGCCGAGCTCAGGATCGTCGGCACTCCGGCCGGCCAGCTTCTCCAGCGGCACTCCGCCGCGGCCACGGGGGGCGCGAGCCTTCGATCCTGGAGCCTGCCAGCCCCTCAAGGGCCTTCGATCCTCGATCCTCGATCCGCGAGGCTTCCATCCTCGAGCCCTCCGTCCCCCCGAAGCGGGTCGACGGGGCAGCGGAGACCTGGAACCGACGACACACCGCCGAGGGATCGGCGGTGTGCTCCCCCGTAGCGAAGCGGCACGTTCCCGGGCGGGGCGGGGGGCACCCCGGCCCCGATCGACGAGGAACGGGCAGTGGGGGGTCCGATGCTTCCGCCCCCTGAGGCAGCCCCCCGCCCGCCGTTGCACCGGACATGCCTCTGCCTGGGCCCGAGGCGCAGCTGACAGAACCCACCCAGGGCCTCGAGAGCTCAGAAAAAAAAGCCAACCAAAGCGTTCGAGAGCATCGCCTCCTGAGCTTCGCCGCCCCGATACGCATCGTGCAACCCGTGGGCGGAACACGTAGGTCTGTCGCGATACGTTTGCCAGAACGCGGGCCAATGGTTTATAGGTTGAGCCAACACGCAATGGCTTGACACGGACTTCTCAGGGCAGCTTCGCTCCTGAGCCTGCCCTCCCGGTTCGTTGCCCTTGGCCCCCCCCTCTGGGGTCGGCGCCCTCCACGGGAATGCCGCGAGGGGGTCGGCCTTCTGAGAAGGCAGAGGGGGGCCTCCGGGAAGGCAGGCGGCCTCTTGGAAGCCCTCCTGGCTTCAGGGAACCTCTGTAAGAAGGCCCCTCCCAGACTGCCCCGCCCTCTAAGAATGCCCCGCCTTCTGAGAATGCCCCGCCCTTGGAAGTAAGGCAGGCGGCTTCTTGGAAGTCCTCGTGGCTCCTAGGACGCACTTCTCGAAATCCAGCGCGAGTCTGTAATGTTGGTCGACGCGCGAAACGAGGCCCGCGGGGTCAGACTTGTGTGCTGACAGTCGCCATCTTCGGCGCGAGCATTGAACTTTTGGGGCCCTGGGGCGCCACGTCGTGGGGCAAACCTGCGTTTGTTTTCGAGGAGGGATGTGGGAAACCCTCTTAGAGGGTGGCGGGCCCCTCCAAGAAGGCCCCTGCATTCCAAGAAGGCCCCGCCTTCTTAGAACCTCCCTCCCCTGCCGTTGCCCCTGCCCCTGCCAGTCCTCCTCCTCGCCCCCCGACCCCCGCACAGAACACAGAGCTGACGACAGAGCTGTCATGCCCACGGCTCTTGCTCTGCGGGCCCGCTCTGTGAGCTTTTGACGACCAGGTCCTCGGGCTCGTCAGGCTCGGGATCGTCCAGGTCCGACCCCAGCTCGGAGCCAGCGCTGTCCTCGGCGCTGGCCTCCGCGGCCGCACCCCTGCTCGCGGCGGCGGCGGCAGCGCCGCCCCGGCGCGCGGGCACTTGAGCGCCCGCTCCGGCGTCACCCGCCAGACGTCCTCCGCGAAGCCGCCGGGGTGGCTCCTCCTGCTCCGCCTCCTCCTCTGCTCCTCCTCCTCGTCCTCCTCCTGCTCCTGCTGCTCCTCCTCCTCCTCCCTCTCCTCCTCCTCCTCCTCCTCCTCCTCCTCCTCCTCCTCCTCCTCCTCCTCCTCCGACCACTTTATTTCGGCACGCCACCGCCCCATCCCATCCCGCGCGCCACCTCCGCATCCCCGCGCCCGCCCCGCCCGCCAGCCAGCGCGCCCCCTCCGCCACGACCTCTTTTTTTCGGCACGGCAACGCCCCGCCCCACCGCCACGCCCACCATCCTGCACGCCCCCATCCGCATTGCCCCACCCGTCAGCCAGCGCGTCCCCTCCGCCCCGACCCCCTTATTTTGGCCCGGCACCGGGGGGACTCCCATCCCGAGCGCCCCACCGCATCGCCCCACTCACCAGCCAGCGCGCCCCCTCCACCCCGACCCTTCGTTTCGGCACAGTGCCGCCCCCCTCCCATCCCGCGCGCTCCCTCCGCGCCCCCCGCCCGCCAGCCAGCGCGCCCCCTCCGCCCCGACCCCTTTATTTCGGCACGGCACCGCCCCCCCATCCCGCGCGCTACCTTTGTCCTGATCCCTTTGACTTTTGCGCGGCACTGCTTTCCCCCATCCCGAACGACCCCTCTCCATCACCCCACCCGCCAGACAGAGTGCCCCCTCCGCCCCGACCTGTCGGCGCGGCATCGCCCCCCATCCCGAGCGCCCCCTCTGCATCACTCCGACCGCCTGCCAGCGCGCCCCCTCCGCACCAACCCCTTCATTTCGGCGCGGCACCGCCCCCCCCCATCCCGAGCGCCACCTCCATCGCCCCGCCCGCCAGCCAGCGCGCCCCCTCCGCCCCGACCCCTGTTATTTCGGCACGGCCCCGCCGCCCCCCCCCAATCCCACGCCCCCCCTCCGCATCCCCCTGCCCGCCAGCCAGCGCGCCCCCTTCGCCCGACCCGACCCTTATTTCGACGCGGCACCGCCCCCCCTAGTCCCGCGCGCCTCTTCAGCACCCCCAACCCACCAGCCAGCGCGCCCTCTCCGTCCCGACCCTTTTCTTTCGGCACGGCACCGCCCCCTCCGCCACGACCCTTTCATTTCGGCACGGCGCCGCCCTCCTCCGCATCCCGCGCGCCCCCTCTGCATCACTGCCCCCACCAGCCAGAGCGCCCCGTCCGCCCCGACCCCTTTATTTTAGCCCGGCACCGCCTCCCTCTCCATCCCGCGCGCCACCTCCGCATCCCGCCACCCACCAGCCAGAACGCCCCCTCCGCCCCGACCTTTCGGCGCGGCATTGGCCCCTATCCCGCGCGCCCCCTCCGCATCCCGCCACCCACCAGCCAAAACACCCCCTCCGCCCCGGCCCTTCATTTCGGCACGGCACCGCCCCCCCCATCCCGCGCGACCTCTTCCGCGCCCCCAACCCACTAGCCAGCGCGCCCTCTCCGCCCCGACCCCTTCATTTCGGCGCGGCATCGCCCCGCCCCGGCCCCTTACTATAGGCCATCCCCCTCCCCCTCCTCCTCCTCCTCCTCCTCCTCCTCCTCCTCCTCCTCCTCCTCTTCCTCCTCCTCCCTCTCCTTGATGTGCAAGAGCCATGGCACACGTGCCACCTGTTCCGCCTCTGCTCGTCCTCCTCGCCCTCCTCCTCCTACTCTTCCTCCTTCTCCTCCTCCTCCTCCTCCTTCTCCTCCTCCTCCTGCTGCTTGCCCCAAGGCCGAGTGGGTATCTGGCTGTCGCCCCGACGCCCTGCCTTTTCCAGGTGCTACATGCCACCTGGAGAGGCAGCCTCAAAGCAGCGACGATGTAGACACACTTAGACGAGCGGAGGCGGCAGCAGCAGCAGCAGCAGCAGCGGTGGGGCCGATGAGCGCGTCGGCAGGGGACGCCGTGGAACCGACAAGGAAGCAAGCCGAGGGAACGACCTCCTCTCACTCCGGCGGCCGACCGTCACACAGAGTCCGGCGGGCGCTGAGGCTGTGGAGGCGGAGGGTGGAGGAGGGGTGGGGTGAAGAAGGGGGAGGGAGGTGAAGGGGAGGATGGTTCGGGAGGGAGAAGGTGGAGGAAGGGGGGAGAGAGAGTGAGGTGGAGGGGAGGCTGGCTTGGGAGGGACAATGTAGAGGAGGGGGAGGGAAGAAGGGGAGGAAGAGGGAGGCGGGGATTCTGACGAGCAGGAGGAGGGTTCGGTTCTGCTCGTCTGGCCTCGAAAATGCACGGCGCGCGAGCAGCAGGGACAGTGCCGCACTCCATGGAGCACGTCGGTCCGAGGAGGGGTAGGGAGGGGGAGAAGGGAGGTTAGGACGGCATTGACGATTGCTTGTATGTGCGAAATTATAGCATAGATGCTCACGGTTAAGTATGTGCAGTGAGATGTATATACATATACATATATACACATTTGTTTAACAATTGTCGGTCCATCTTGAGCGCCTGGAGGCCTCCTGGAGCCCCTCCGTAGATCTCTCCGAAGACCCCCCTCCCCCCCCAGGAGCGAACGTTCAAGGGGGAGACTGAGATCGAGAGAGAGAGAGAGAGAGAGAGAGAGAAAGAGGGACGGTGCAGGGCAGGGGAGAGGGAACGGGGCAGGGAGGGGGAGTGGGGGGGACAGTTGACGGGTGGCGGCTCAGTTTGCAGCCTTGTACCTTCGGCCGAACGATGCCTCGGCCTTCGCATGGGCCTTCGCCTCGGCCTATGATTTATCCTCACCGCTCTCACTTAATTTCTAGGTCTCAACCTCTGCCCCACCCTTGGCCAGGCCCTTGCAGCCCATTCGCATTTATCACTAGCTCTGGTCATTCGCCTGAGTCTTCGCATCAGCTGTGGCCTTCTTCCTACCTTTTGCCTCTATACTGACCCAGGCCCACGCATGATCCTTAGTTCCTCTTGGTATCCGCATTGGCTATACCAATAGACTGCGTCTTCGGCGAAGCCAGAGTCCGAGTTCTTGCCTAGCCGTAGCATTGGCCTCTGACTTGGCCATCGCTTTTAGCCTCAACGGTCTTACATTGTGTATGGATGTGTGGCTGAAATTGGGATCAACGGTGCGTGTTCTTGTTCCTGTTCTCGTCGTCGTCGTCGTCGTTGTCGTCTTCGCCGTCTTCGATTTCGTTGTCGTCGTCACCTGTGACCCGCCTCGCGATCCGCCCCGCTACGATCCGTGCCCGCCGCGATTCGCGCCCGACCTTTTGACTACCCGCCCCGCGGCCCACCGCGCGACCCGCCCTGCGACCCACCGACGTCCCGCCCGCCTACCGCGGCTGGCGCCACCCGCGCCCGCCGCAACCCGCGCCCATTGCGATCCGCGACACTTCTCGGGGACGCACTACGATGAGGGCATTGGAAAAGGAATCCACGGCCTGGAAGCCGGTGGAACACCAACTGAGGCTTGGCCACGGACATCACGGCCGCCTTCATCAGAGAAAAGATCGTCCAAACTTTGACACCTCGTGGGCGAGGCGAGGCGAGGCGAGGCGCGCCTGAGTCCGCCGGGGGGTGGGGCCTGGAAGGCCGGCGCGGGCGGGCCGGGGCCCTCAGTCACAGATGTGGGAGTTGTGGTCAATGCTGTGTGTGTGTGTCGTAGGAATGCTTGCTCCAAATTGTTCCACTGGTCGCTGTCTTGTGCTACTGTAAACCATCTTCCGCTGCCAGGTTCGAGAAGCATCTTCGCTGTCAAAAACTGCGTGATATATCGTCTTCCCACCGCTTCCTCTGACGCCCGTGCCTGCGGACTGCTTGCCGGTGGTCGTGGATGTCTGGCTCCCACGTCGCAGCAAGTCGGCTCCATCTGTCGTGCGGTTGGCTTGCAACTCGCCCAGCCCACCGCCATTTCCGTCGAAAGTACACCGTAGTTCACTCATCCACGCGGGCCCGTTTTGCTAGATCCGCGGCAGTGTGCGTAGCTCTGCGGATAAAGACTTCCCATGGTTCGAGGTCGAAGTCGTCGTCGCCACCGTCCGTATGAAACTCGTCGTTGTCGTCGAAATTCGTCCTGTGTTCGCTGCCGTCGTATGCGTGCGTTCCTGCGTCGATGTTGCCGGTGTTGTCGGTAGGGGTGTCGTTGCAAAATGCTCGGCGTCGCGGGGTGTTCACGATGAGTCGCAGCATCCGTCTTTGAGTGCGCGTCAGGGTTTGGAGCATGTCCTTGGTCATCGTCCAGGATACGGACCCGTACATGACCGTAGGCGTCCCAATTCCATTGCAAAGACGGAGTCTGCTGTGTAGTGGGTATCGCTTGTTGGTGAGCTCGTTGTGGAGCTGGTTGAACCGGCGCCATCCAGATGCTATTCTGTTGTTGAGTTCAGCGTGGTGGTACTGGTTGTCGTGAAGCGTGAGCTTGCGACCGAAGTATTTGGTTGTTTGGTCTGCGTATAGAATTTCGAGGTCCTCGCCGTCAACGCTGGTGTGTGTGATGGTCCGTCCTTCACATCTGCTGAGGCTGGTAAGGATTTTGGTTTTGTCTGGGTGTAGTGCAAGCCCGCACTTTCCGGCTTCTCTCTTCAGATCCCGAAGGATCACCTTCAATTGTCGTAAGTTGGGTGCAAGGAGAAGCACGTCATCTGCAAACCGTAGATTGGTAAGTCGTGTATGCCTGCCGTGCCCCAATTTGATGCCAAAGCCTTTACGTTCCCAAGAAGGCTCGACCTGTCGGAAAACGTGCTCGAGCACCACGTTGAAGAGGTAAGAACTGAGCGGGCCGCCTTGCTTAACCCCGCGCTGTATGCTGAATTCCTTGCTGCTGACGTCTGTTCTAACCGTGGCGGTTTGATCCTGGTGAAATTTCTGCAACAAGGAAATGTATGAGTCTGGCACGTTCTGTTGTCGAAGTGCGTTCCAAAGGCTCTGATGGTTGACGCAGTCAAAAGCCTTCTTAAAGTCTATTGCAGCAACCCATAAAGGGAGTTGCCACTCATAAGACTGTTCGTGCACTAGCGTCGCGGTGAAGAGGTGGTCTTCTGTGCAAAACCCTTTTCGGAATCCAGCTTGGTAAGGTGATTGTTCAGTCTCGAAATGCGCCTCCAGTCGGTTGCATAATAATCGAGACATCAGTTTGTATAGCAGTGGGGTGATGGCGATTGGTCTGTAATTGTGGGGTAGTTGCGGGTCGCCAGACTTGTAGATGACACTGATTGTTGTGCGCCTCCATTGCTCAGGGGGTTCTCGCCCATGCGTTATGATGTCGTTGAACAGCTTCAGCAAGTGTGATTCGATGACGTCTCCCCCGGCCTTGAGCAGCTCCGCGGTGATACCAGCATTGTCTTTACATTTGCCGTTTTTGAGTTGCGTAACTGCGTGGTGCAACTCTTCTAGAGTAAACTGTGGGATCCCGTGGTGCGCATGATGTCGTGCATTGTCGTGTGCACCGTGCGGCTGAGCGTCTGTAGGCTCGTCGGTCTCTGCGCAACGTCTGTACAACTGTTCGTAGAAGTCGGCGAAGATGTCTGCGATGCCTTGGCGGTCCGTCTCGCTGTCGCCGTCTTTCGTTGCCATGCTCGGTTTCATATCTTTACTTCTGCTAGATTTGATGCCAGGTATCTTTTTGAGATTTCGGAAATTGCGTAAAATGTCATTCAATTCGGAGTGCCGTTGAGCTCTCTTGATAAGCCGGTGTTGTCGCATGATGCTTTTGCTGAGGGCTTTTCTGGCGGTTGCGTCGGAGTGCGGTGTGCTCCTGCGCTGCTTGATGAGTGTCCGTAGGAGTCGGGTGGCTTCGTCGTCTTCGTCTTTGTCGTATGTCTGTTGTTGTTGGGGTGTTGCTGCTGCTCTTCCTGGAACTCTTTGTATGCTGCTGCTATCGCTTGTTCGGTGTGTGCGTATGTGTCGCTTGCTTGGGTCGTACAATGCACCGTCGCCTATCAGATGCTGTCGCAAGTGACGCTGGAAATCTAGGTCGTCTTGTCGAGGTGGACGATGGCGCGTTTGCTTGTGTCTTCCTCTCTTCCGTCGCGGTGGGCGGTGCTTGGTGCTGTCCACAGCAAGTCGGAGGTGCACGGCTTGGTGATCAGAGCCGAGGTCGGGAGTGGGCGATGCAAACGCATCAAGTATAAGATGCCGCGCACGTTGATCAACAAGGCTGTAGTCGATCTGGGTTTGCGTGTTCTTCGAGCCGGGGTGTGTGTAAGTGAACACATGCTGCGCGCGTTTGCAAAACATAGTGTTTGCGATGCTGAGTTTGCGCGTGCACGCCCAAGACCGTAGCCAGGCACCACGTTGATTACACCCAATCTGGCCGTAGTTGCCGATAGTTCGTTTCTCTGCGTCGTGGGTGCAGTCATCGTCTATGTTGTCTTTCCGTCTTCCCACTCGCGCGTTAAAATCGCCTGTCAGTATGAACGTTCTATTCTTCTTCGTGGCGTCGGCGTGGATTGCCGAAATCATATCGTAGATGCTTTGTACGTGCTGGTCCCCATATCCACCGTGTGGAAAATATGCCGTGGTGAACTGGAGTTGGTACTGTGGTAGGTCTATGTCGATGTAGGCGAGCCGCTCGTGAACAGCACTGAAACTCTTGACGTGTTGGGCGTGTCGTGCGTGTACCAAGAAACCGACACCTCTCGTTGGATGCTCATGCCCGGCAGCTGCAAACACATGTCCATCAAGCTTGGTGATCCACATCTCTCGCGTCGAAGTGCGCCATGTTTCGTTGAGTGCCACAACGTCCCAATGTATGTCTGTGAGCTCGCATATGAGTAAATCGATGGCCGCGTCATTGGTGAGGCTCCTGGCGTTTTTGTGGACTATCGTCAGTGCTTCGTCGAAAAGTTTGGTTGGAGAAGCAGTCGTCTTCTCTGTCTGGTCATCGACGGTTGCGCACGCCATCGTTGATGCAAGTTTTGCCGCGCCATGCTGTGTGATTGCGGCCAGTCGTTGTTGAAGGCGTTGGTGGTGTATGCATGCCGGCAGGTCTCCCTCGGTGTTGCTGTATCGTCCCCGCCCCCCACCGGCGCTGCTTTTGAATTGCTGCTCCTGCTGAGGAAGCTGTTGTGCGATCTGATGAGGTATATGTGGATAGTCGGATGCTGGACGCGGGAGGTCGAAGTTTCGCGCTGGTGGATGGTGGAGGTCGACAGGTGGAGGTGGAGGTGGAAAGTCGGATGCTGAAGGCCTGAGGTCGAAGTTTTGCACTGGTGGACGGTGGAGGTCGACAGGTGGAGGTGGAGGTGGAAAGTCGTATGCTGTACGCTGGAGGTCGAAATTTTGCGCTGGTGCACGGTGGAGGTCGACAGGTGGAGGTGGACGTGGAGAGTCGGATGCTGGACGCTGGAGGTCGAAGTGTTGTGCTGGTGGACAGTGGAGGTCGACAGGTGGAGGTGGAATTGGAGAGTCGGATGCTGGACGCTGGAGGTCGAAGTTTTGCGCTGGTGGATGCTGGAGGTCGACAGGTGGAGGTGGAGGTCGAAAGTCAGATGCTGGACGCTGGAGGTCAAAGTTTTTCACTGGTGGACGGTGAGGGTCGACAGGTGGAGGTGTAGGTGGATAGTCGGATGCTGGACGCTGGAGGTCGGAATTTTGCGCTGGTGCACGGTGGAGGTCGACAGGTGGAGGTGGACTTGGAGAGTCGGATGCTGGACGCTGGAGGTCGAAGTTTTGCGCTGGTGGATGCTGGAGGTCGACAGGTGGAGGTGGAGGTCGAAAGTCAGATGCTGGACGCTGGAGGTCAAAGTTTTTCACTGGTGGACGGTGGAGGTCGACAGGTGGAGGTGTAGGTGGATAGTCGGATGCTGGACGCTGGAGGTCGGAATTTTGCGCTGGTGGACGGTGGAGGTCGACAGGTGGAGGTGGACATGGAGAGTCGGATGCTGGACGCTGGAGGTCGAAATTTTGCGCTGGTGGATGCTGGAGGTCGACAGGTGGAGGTGGAATTGGAGAGTCGGATGCCGGACGCTGGAGGTCGAAGTTTTTCGCTGGTGGATGGTGGAGGTCGACAGGTGCAGGTGGAGGTGGAAAGTTGGATGCTGGACGCTGGAGGTCGAAATTTTGCGCTGGTAGCCCTCAAACAACGCCCCCACCCGTAACCCGGGTCAGCGCTCATTCGGATCAACCAAGGCCCCGTGGCGAGCGCGGAGCCGGCCACGAAGAAGCTCCTCTCCGAACCGGGTCAGCGGAGGCTGGGAGGGGGGTTCGGCCCCACGCGGCTCTCCAACCCGGGTCGGCCACGGGGGGGGGGGGGGTCCGAGGGGACCGGCCGACCCCCGATGGCGACTGCACTCGTTACGCGCGCCCCTGCATCCTCATCGCCCTCCTCGTCCTCCTCCTCCTCCTCCTCCTCCTCCTCCTCCTCCTCCTCTCCAGTTTCCGCAAGTCCGAGAGGCCTACAATTTTGTTGCTGCGATCCACGGCGCTCGCAGCGTCTCATAGCGGGGCGCGCTCAACGACCAGTGGCTCATCGAGCGGCGCCGGCGAGCCGAGCGAGGCACAGCGCTGCACGCCGCCTGCGCCCCTCTTCAGGAAGCAATCTTGCACCACTATCTGAAAGCAGTCGCCCATCGCTGGTCGGGCGTTGCTGAAAGTGGCCCTGGCCCAAAGTGTCCCTGGGCTCTCCCAGGGGGCCACCAGTGGACTCCAGGGCAGCCGCTCGCGAGGCCCGGAGGGCCTCAGGAACCCTGGAATGGTGCGAACCACTGGGGACACCTTCCCAAACATCCGGCATCTCGACTTCTTCGAAACACGGATCCCTGACCTCTCGACCACTTCCCCGAGACTGTTTTTTTCATCCCGAGCTGTTCTTTGACGGTCCCGAGGCCCGGTGAGGGCCCCGAGAGGCCGAAACATATGAAAACCCTCCGTCTCGATCTGTTCGAGACGCCAGACGTCTGGGTTGGCCTGGCAGCACCTCTGGCAGCCCCCGCGCCGGGAAGGCGAGCACCGCGAACGCCGTCTTCGCCATGGAGCCTTGCAGCCCCAAGGCGCCGAAGATTCCAGCGTAGATGCCGTAGAGGCGCGCCCGCGACAGCGTTAGGCCGAGGGTCACCAGCAGGCGCACGCCAGTGATGATCAACAGCCAAACGCCCACCAGGCAATGCCAAAGGGGGTCACCGCTAAGGGGGGTCGCCAACTGCTCGAGGAGAACGTCCCCTCGTGCCCTCCCGTCCCCCCCATCAAGCATCGTTTGAGCATTAAGAGCAGTCTTCTCAATGCTGCATCCTCGATCCTAGAGTCTCGATTGTCAGGAAGAGTTGGCGACCCCCCAAGCCGTGACCCTACGTGGCATTCCCTGAGCCCACCTGCGTGAGCCACAGGCTGACAGCGGTCGGGGGCGCCGGGGGTCGTTGCTGCAGAAGGACTGGCTGCCCGCAACCGGCTGCTGTCCCTGACGCAGGGAAGGATGCGCTTTTCGAGACGCTGTCCCCTGTTCTGCTGCAGAAGGAAATTTCTCTCGAGATGCTGTCCTCGGACGCCAAACTCAATCGAGAGTTGCATCTGGAGCCTAACCGGGAGCCGGGCAGAATGGGCACCTCGTCGTAGCTGCCAATGTCGATGCTGAAGCGACTGAGAAGTATGGGGCGGGCTAAGCTATTCGCCCCCCAGCACAGAAATGTTGTGACGAAACAGTCTGTGACGATGCCCATAAGGTACCAAACGCACTGGTCCGTCTGTTCCGTCGACGCCGTGTGCAGATGTGAGAACAGCTCTGCTTGGGCGATGTTATAGCACTTTCCGTAAGCTGCGCCTGCCACCTGCTTGGACACGTCGAAGGCCCATGTCAGGAGCGGCCTCCTCGGGCTCTCCAGGAGCCACACCGCGACGAGCGCGCAGGCGCAGATGAAGGTGATGGCTCCCTGCGCCAAGAGCCCAAACGCCCCCAACAGATCGCAGTCGCCAGGCTGACCCATCGGGCCTCCGCCGACTGCCCGTCCGGGCCCTGGACTCGAGCGAAGCGGGAGGCGCGGCGATCCTTGCGCCACACGAGATCCATGGGGCGAGCCGGCGTGCCACAGCGCACATGGGCAGGCGGCTCAAGCCGAGACGGCTTGAGCCAAGCAAACTCAGGAATTTAGCGCTCTGACCTTTAGCCTTCATGCTCTGCCCTCCGGCCTTGAGCCGTGATGCTTCAGCGCCAGCCTAGACCTTATCATTGACCCGGTTCCTTTTCTGGAGGCCTCCACCATTACAGCTTGACATTTCGTCTTCAACGTTTCCGAATTTTGGACTTCAGCTGTAGCCTTCAATGCTGGCCTTCCCCTGCCGTGGCCGCAGCTTCAGCTTCTGCTTCAGTGCTGGACCCGCTCCTGGCCTCAGACTCTCTGTCTCTGTCTCTCTCTCCATCTCTCCTCTCTTGCTCTCATCCCCGCACTGCCCTTTCCCCTACGTCTCTCCCCCCTCCTCCTCCTGCTCCTCCTGCTCCTCCTCGTCATCCTCTTCCTCCTCCTCCTCCTCCTCCTGCTCCTCCTGCTCCTCCTGCTCCTCCTGCTCCTCCTGCTCCTTCTGCTCCTCCTCCTCCTGCTCCTCCCGCTCCTCCTGCTCCTCCTGCTCCTCCTGCTCCTTCTGCTCCTCCTCCTCCTCCTCCTCCTCCTCCTCCTCCTCCTCGTCATCCTTCGCTCCTCCCCCCTCACTGCTTCCGCCCCACTTTCTGCTCCTCCTCTCCTACTCTCTCCGTTTCCTGCCTGCTGTTCTGGCGGGACTCCGAACGGCTACACCTGCGAGATTGGCGACTCTACGCTTGTGCTCCGTTGGCTCACGCAACGAGGCGGCGCGTCATCCTTCCACTCGAAGCGAGGGTCGCAAGTGAGAAGAACAGTCGTCTCCCCTTGCTCTTGATCGGGAAAGGCAGGCACCGACCCCTGAGGCAGGGTGGTTGCTAAGCTACTTGGGTGACACCATTGTCTGGCAACTCCGGCGCGCTAAGCACGTCGAGCCGGCGAACACTGCTGCCACTGTCAGCGCGCACAAGCGGTCGCAGATCTCCCGAGGCCAGAACACCTGTCCTTCTGGCTAACTGCGCGGCCCTGAACCCGAACACGTCCACGGGGCTGGATGAAACACGTGCCGGGGAATCACCAACATGTTGACTCCGTCCTGCCAACCCCTGGCCGTCGCCTCCTGCCTGGGCACCCTTGGCCACATCCGCCTCCGTGTCCCCCCTGGGCACGTTGAGGCGTGGTGGAGCGCCAGGTGCTGGTCTGGCAAGGCTTCTGCCCTCGAATAAGAAACACCCCCCCTTCTGCTAGCATGCTTATGCACGCATCGCCCCCCCCCCTTCCCTTTTTGAGGTCACGATCTGTCACGATTCTTTGTTGAAAAAGACGGGCCCGCGCTCCTCAAGCAAATCTCCCTGTTCGAAAACGATGGATCCGCGGCCAGAGCTTCCAAGACGGCCCACGCAGGCAACCAGCGACACCAAAATGACCAACTATGCCTCGAAGACGGCCCAAGATGGCCCCAAGGCGGCCGAACATGGTGTCAAGACTGCTCTAGCTGTCTCCAAGAGCGCCCAAAAAGGCCACCAGAGGACCTGCAACAGGGTCCGAAGAAGCCAAGCTCATCGATCCCCAAATGTTTGTGATAGATGTTCGCATTCTCGCCTGTCTGGGCTTCCGTCAGCGCAAGACGGCCTAACAAACCTCCACGGTACGGTCCAAGAGGCCCGCAAGAGGGCCCCCAGGTGGCCCAAGGGGGCCCCACGATGGCCCAACAAAGCCGCCCGTGGGACCCACAACTGCCTTAGATGGCCCTGCGCCGGCCTAAGGTGACGCCAAGACGTCCCCCATATACCCTCCATGCGGCCAAAAAGGTCCCAAGACGACCCAAGACAACCCCATGACGACGTAAGCTGAAACGGCCCCAAGGGACTCCCGAAACTGGCTCACAGGAGGCCACGACACCCTCAAGGCGGCCCCCACGAGTTGCATGAGAACTCCCCAAGCAGTGAAGACGAAAAGTGTTACATTTGACAACCTCCCTGTCCTTCCTCCTGCTGCTACTCTTCCTCCCCACCCCCATCCTCATCCTCATTCTCTTCCTCCTCATCACCCGCATCATCCTCATGACCCCCATCATTCTGATCACGGCTCTCCCATGTCTAAGAACACCATATGTCACGCGTGACGGCCTCCCGCGCCCCCACGAACAGCACTGGCCTGGCACGGTGGCGGGAGTTGCCGCATGCAAGTGGGTGTGGTCGACCAAACATTCTTGCACTTCTTCGCCCGATCCAGTCATACACCTGGTCGGCAATCCAGGCCTGCGAAAAAAAACACCGGGGACACATGACGCGCAAAACGGCTTGATCAATAACGGGGCATTTTTTAAAATGCCGTCGAGATTTGACAGCCGATTGCTGTGCTCTCAGTCATGACATGCGCCTCGCGAGGCTGCGATTTATGATTGCTTTTTTCGAACGATGAGCGTTTCCTCCGCAAAACGCGCAATGCGTACGGCAGGACTGTGGTGCAGCTGTGGTAGCCAACTTTTATCACTGCCTTTGGTCGTCCACTGCAGTACGTTCCCGCGCGCTCCCCGACTTGCTGCCCCATGAGATGAAACAGGCACGGCCGATAGGTCGCGAACCAGTGTATGAAATAGGCCCATCCGCGAGCTGAAACCTGCGTGCTTGAAAACACACTGTCGGACGACAGAACAAGAGCCCCCTCTGTCGGTAAGCGACGTAAGACCTGACCACCCCCCTCCTCCTTGTCCTTCTCCCCTCCTACCTGCGAAGGGGGCCGAGCCTTGACCCCAACTGCGCACGCGTCGCCGCCCCTACTGTCCGCAACCTCGCCGCGGGTGGCCCGCCTCTCCCGGCCGCTTGGTCCGTCGGCTTGCGGCTGCTCCCCGCCCCTCCTTTCTTGAAGGGGCCCCAGGACACACAAAGAAATACACACAAATAAAGATATCCCCCATATTTTCCCATATTTTCTGGGTTTCTGTCTTCCCCCCCACTTCCCATATTTTCCCATATTTTCTGGGGGATCGACGATTAATTGTGTCTGTGTGTTTTTCCCCCTCCTGATTTCTGTGCACCCAGTGGGCTCAGGGGGCCCGTCCTGCCGCGCCCTCCAGCGGCAAGCGGCGCGGGCGCTTCGCGGCGCTGCCTCCCGCCCCGCCAGCCTCCGCCACCGGCGCGTGCGCCTCGGCGATGGACTCTGCGCCTCCGCCAGCGTGGTCAGGGGGCGGGAGTGGGACGAAGGGGATTCGGAACTCGAAGGTTTAAGTAGTTTTTTTGGTCGTCGGCGGCTTTCCAGCCTCAGGGTGCTTTCCATCGGCTGCGCCTCGCCGAGAGCATTCCGGGGAGTGCCTGGATCGTCCTGAACGGCCGCCGGAGAGCCGAGTTGTGACCCGAAAGCCAAAGGGCAACATTAAGGGGGGGGCGTCCGCATGCGGGATGTTTCCCAAGCCGACTGGCAAAAAACCCAACCAACCGGCACCAATTTCAAGCAGCGCAGAAGCCCAAGCCGTTACGACTCCAAACCTGCCTCGTAGCGTCATCGTAAGACCCTGTTCGTGAGAGACATCCACATAATGTAAATAATCTCTTCGATTTCCGTACATGTATTCGTTTTCTGGAATATTACATGGGTGGCCCTGGAATGTGGAACTACAACGGGTAGAGTAGCTGAATTCTGCAAGGCCGCCAGTCGTGACACATGGAAACGCGGCCGAAACTAAACACAATGCAACGCAATGCGAAGCTTCGCAATGAGTCGCAATTCGACACGCTGCAACTTGATGCAATGCAAAGGCAATGCCGCGCGATTTAATGACATGGACAGCGGTTCAATACGAACATCACATGACGCGATGTATTCAAACCCGGCGTGGCGTAATGGGGAACACTCGAACAAGAAACGCAATGCTTGCAACGCAGAATCAAGCTTACACCCTTGGCGGTATAATGCCCAACATAGCTTCATCGAGTACCAGGCAAAACATAACAAGTTATAACTATACTGGACGACAACATAATCCTAACATAATTCGCCACTGAGCCTGTACGGAGCGGGCGTGTTAGAATGCTCGTCTGTTGCCTGGAAGGCTATCTGATGTTTTCTAAGGCCGACCCCCTCTCATCTACCCACCTCCCCCCCGAAGTTAGCACCCAGCCATCTTTTGGACCTCAAGACGACCCCAGATGGCTCTCAAGACGGCCTTCAAAACAGCCAACATGACACCAAGACGGCTACATATGGCCCAAGACAGCATAAGAGGCTCCCGAAGGCCCCAAGACGGCTCGAGCGGCTTCCAAGACGGTTCCAAAAGGCCCTCCTGGAGAGCCCGAGGAGGCGAACATCCTTGCTTTCCATACGAAATGTGAAAGATTTCCTGCTCTCACCTGTTTTGGGTTTCTGACCACCTAAGGCGGCCCTAGAGGCCTGCAGTAACAAAGCGGCCCATGCGGCCCCCAAAGAGCGCCCCAAGTCGGGCCGAGAGGAACCGAAGATCGCTCAAGAGCCCCCACGAGGGCCCCAAGACGGCCTCCGAAAGCGCGAGACGGGCCAAACGCCTCCTAAGACGGCCCAGGAGGCCCCAAGAGGCGCCCAAGAGGCCCGAAGAGGCTCCAAGAGAACCTGTCAGAGACTTCTCCTCCGTGTCTTCATTTTCTCCCTCTCCTCCTCCTCCTCCTCCTCCTCCTCCTCCTCCTCCTCCTCCTCCTCCTCCTCCTCCTCCTGAGTACCAATTTTGGCACAACTCCGTATCGCTGGGCCGCTGCCGCGCCGCGCTCGCTGCGGTGCGCTGCCAGGAGCACCCTCGCAGCAGCGCGGCGCCGAGGAAGCAGCCCGCGGGGCGCTCCCAGCGAGGCACGCCGCGGCGGGCCTCGCGGCGGGCCGCTCCCAGGCGGGAGGGCGCCTGCCACGGGCAGCCGAGGGCGTGCCGCGCGCGCCCGGCGGCGAGCCTGCGGGCTCTCGCCGCGCTGCCTTCCGCGGCTGCGCCCGGCGCCGCGCCCGCCCCGCGGCGGCGGCGGCGGCTGCCAGGGCGCAAGGGCCGCGTGGCTGGTGCAGCGGGCCAAGGCTCGCCTCTCGGGGCGGCCGCGGCGGAGAGCGACGGAGCTGGAGGAGACTCCGAAGCGCCCATGGAGGCAGAGCCGGCAGGCGGCGGCCACGGCGCGAGGCCGCGGCGTCGCCGCCCTCGCTCTGCGCTTGCGGAAGCCCTCCCCGGCGCAGCTGCGGGGCTTCCTCTGCTTTCTCTCGATGCTCGTGGAGGCGCGGACTGCGCGGACGAGTTCGACGACTCCTGGGCCGATGGCGGCCGTCCTGCGCGCCCTGGCGGCGGCGGCGCGGGCACGGCGGCCGCTCGGGAGAGTGCGGGCTCGGCGGGGGTCTCCGAGGCGCCCGGCGCAGTGTCTGCGGCTCTGGCGGCGGCGGGCAACGCGGGGGACCCCGCGGCGCTCCAGCAGCGGTCGGCCTCGCTGGCTGCTCGGCTGGGGGCGACCCGCGGCGACCTTCTCTGCCTCCTGGAGGCGGCACGGGCGCATAAGAGCCCGCTGTCCCCCGCGGGGGCAGGGCATCGTCGACGACGTGCTCATGCCGAGGCCTACCTGCGGGTCGTGACTCACGCCCGCTCGTCGCGGTGCTGGAGGGCGTCTGGCTGTCGGGGCCCGTCGCGGACGCGCCCGCCAACGCCTACGGTGTCGTGCTGTGGGTGTACCTGGCCGTCCTCGTCGGCTTCAGGTATGCCCTCCATCCATAGGGCTCTCGCCCTCCGCAAGAGCCCCCGTTGGGGGGCGTCGGATCCATGTTGTGTCTGGAGTCGTTTTCGTGTCTCGGATGCGCCTCCATGGGCTCGCAATTTCGCAAGCTCCTGGTCCTCCTGCTCCTGTTCCTGCTCCTGCTCCTGCTCCTCCTCCTCCTCCTCCTCTTTCTCCTCTTCTCTTTCTTCTCCTCCTCTTTCTTCTCCTCCTCCTCCTCCTCCTCCTCCTCCTCCTCCTCCTCCTCCTCCTCCTCCTCCTCCTCCTCCTCCCCCCCACTACCACGCGGACGAAGATGAGGTCGAGTTCACGACCCGCCTCCATTCAGACCGCTCGCTGAACTGCAGTGGGGCGTGAACTCGACCTCCCCCAATAGACGAGGTCGAATTCATGACCCGTCCCATTTCGCGCCATTTTCGTAATTACGCCGTTCCTACACTCAGTCTCCTTCCTGCTGCGCTGTTGCGCAAGCACGGTGGCGGGTTTTGCCGCAAGCAACTGGATCTACAATAACAATATACAATGCAAACCAGACCCTTGCCCATTCTGCGTGTTGTAATCCGGTACCGTGCCGCTGGGCACGAGATGGGCGTGCACCGAAGTCCTCTGCCCAATCCCCTGAGCTTCAGTCCTCGGTCCCGAGGAGTGCTTCGGGAGCCTGGACACCGCTCTCCGAAACCTCTTGGGGCTGCTTGACGCGTGCCCCCCCTCTGGCCATCGCTCGGACGTCCATTCCCTGCGTTTTTTTCGGTTTCGTGCGTGGTTGTTTCGCTAGATGATCCAGGATGCTCCTCGATGGTCCTCGCCGAAGGGGAAAATTCACACGTCCGAGCGATGCCAAGCCCTGGGCTTCGGGAAGGGGCGGCGGGCGCGTGATCTCCCTCGGCCCGAGGGGCCCCCAGACGGGCCGAGAAGGCTCCCAGGAGCCACGCGGGGAGGCGCGATGGGGCCCCAAGAGGGCCCCGCGCTCTGCTGCCCAGGACGCCCAAAGGCGAGCTCGAGGCGGCCCAGGGAGCCCCCCAGGAGGCCTCCGAGAGGCCTCCGAAGAGGTCCCTCCGGGGGGGCAACATCGCTGCCTTTCATGATTTTTTCGGCTCATCGGTCTTATCCCCTTTTTGGCTTCTCGACGCTCCAAGACGGCCCAAGAGGCCCCCAAGACCAACCCCAAACCGTCCCAAGAGGCCTCCAAGAGGGCCCCAAGACGGCCGAAGAGCGCCCCAAAGCGTCCCCGGAGGCAGACCGTACGCCTCTGGCTGGCGTCGGCGCCTCACCTCTTCCCTTCTTCATGCAGCCCAAGATCTTGAACCATTTTCGGCTCTCTTTTCCGCGCTCCTTGCTCACCTGTGGGGTCTTTTCCGTCCTCCACTTGTCGCTTCGCGCGGTGCACTCGCCGTTGCTCTGGAGCCAGGCTCTGGCCACCGTGACTGCACCGCATCGGCCCGTCTTTGGGAGCAAGTGTGCATGTCACATGCTGCAGTGCCAGTGCGTCTGCTGTGCGGACAGAGAATGTGGGAGAGAGAGAGAGAGAGAGAGTCGGGCGTTGGCAGAACTGGGTTTTGTGGGACCTGGTTTAGTGATGTGTGCTGGGGGACGCCCTCCCCGCCCCTTTCCACTAACTGGAACTGCCTTCCGACGAAAAAAAATCAGCTATGGCAGACCTGGTGTAGTGGTTCTGGCCAATTTAGGGGCTCCGAGGCCCTACCACTAACCAGGTCCCCCTACCTGGGGTCCTGGCTATATCCGAGAGAGATTACACGCGAAATGTCGAATCGCGGGTTCCTCCTTTTGTAACGAAAGGTCGCCATCGCGGTAAGTTCCGCCCTGTGCTTTTGAGGAGGCTCTATGGCGAAGGTCCTGTGCATTCAACCGTGCCGAGCAGTGCAGGCTCTTGTGGAGTATGTATGTGCTTGAGGTACAACGAGGCGATCGAGGAAGAAGACGACGAGGTGGAGAAGCGAAGAGGAAGAACGTGACCAGGGGGAGGCCAGAGGGGGCGTTGAGTACGAGGATGGGCGAGGAGGGCGAGGAGGACCAGGGAGGGCAGGAGGAGGCGCCTCCTGCGGCGCCCTGCAACGGCAACCTGCGCCGGCGCTTGGCGCGCTCGCTGCCCACCGCCCCGCCGGCCTCCGCCGCCGACGCGTGCGCCCCTCCGCTGGCACTTGCACCTGCGCCGGCGGAGCCGGGAGGACGCCGCCACTGGCCGAGGAGCATCGGCGGCGGAGCTCAGGGGGGCAGCGCGAGGGGTCCGGCCTTCCAAGAGGGTGGGGGGTGCCTCGAAGAAGGCGGGGGCCTCAAGAAGAAGCCTTCTCAGAAGCCTCGGGGCCCCTGAAACGGAAGCCCGAGCCCTCTCAGAGCCCCCCTCCCCCCGCGCCTTTTTCGAAGGGAGGACTTCGGCTCCACCACACACCACCGACATCCTGCAGACGTGCAAAGTAGTAGCCGTCCTCGTCCTACCAGGTCCCACCAGCAGAATGCAAGGAACGACGGAACGCAGAAGTCCTACCGGGAAGGACTGCAAAGAACACCGCCGAGCAAATGGGAACATCACAGTGGCCAAGTCGCCGGAGGCGAGCCTAAGCAGGTAACCACGGGAGGGAGAAGGGAGGAGCAGCAGCTTGGTCCGCTTCGAGCGGGGAAGCCTGCCTGGCCCAGGGGGCCGGGGGGATCTCGCGGCCCTGGCCGTTGACGGCCGTCGGCACGGACTGGCCCCGCTCCACCGCTCCCCCCCCCCCCTCGCTTCTTCTTCTGCTTCTCCTCCTCCTCCTCCTCCTCCTCCTCCTCCTCCTCCTCCCCTTTCCTTTGCATCCTCTCCCTGCCCGGCTCCCCCCATCTACCTCCCTCCTCCCCGTTACTGTCCCCATCCACCTCTTACTCCCTCCCCACTTCCCCTTTATACCTGCTCCCTGCCCCCCTCGTCTCCTCATTTCCCTCCGCCTCCCCTCCCCCTCCATTCCTCCTCCCGCTTACCTGCCTGCCTTCACCTTCCCCCTCCAACTCTCTTCCCCCCGTTCCCCTGTCTCCCGTTCCTCCTCCCCCACCCGGCCAGAGAGGTGGAAGGCGGGAGAGGGCCACAAGAAGCGAGGGAGGGGAAGGGGGGGCAGGTGGGCGAACACGAGGGAGGTGCAGGAGGGAAGGCAGAGAATCAGAGCAAGAGGGTGAGAGGAGGAGGAGGAGGAGGAGGAGGAGGAGGAGGAGGAGGAGGAGGAGGAGGAGGAGGAGGAGGAGGAGGAGGAGGAGGAGGAGGAGGAGGAGGAGGAGGAAGGAGCAGGAGGAGGAGGAGGAGGAGGCCCTCCTCCCCCCGCTCCCCGTTCCCCCCCTCCCCCTTGGCACTCCCTCCGCCTCTCCTGTCCCCTCCACTCCCCGACCAGAGTGATCGCCACCTCGTCGAGGAAACGGACCCTGGACCCCTTCCCCCCCAGAACACCCCTGGGACTCCCAAGAACGCCCAAATCCTCCTCGATCCTCGATCCTCCCTCCTCCCCGATCCTCGATTTCCAGGATGAGCTGGTGAGCCCCATACAGCCGTCTTCCCATTCCAGCTTTTCATCTTTAGGCCCACGCTGCCGCTGCAGAGAGGAGTGTGACCCTGGCAACTGGGGCCCCAGCGCACCTCATGCCGAGACTCCCGCACCGTCCTCGAGGACGCTGACGCGATACAGCGACGTCGACGCGGACAGAACACCCTACTCACGCCGATCAGTCCACGTGGGCGACGCAAAAAAACGGGGTCGTCTGCGCCGACATTGGCGCGTGAGCTGCCCGCGTAAGGTCGCGCGTGAGCGCCTGCGTCTCCGATGCGACGTGCCGCGCTGGCGGCCCGCGCAAGCCGCCACGTAAAACCCGCTTTTGATCGTCGCTCATGCGGATCTTTTTCGCTGCACCGGAACACGGCGGCAGTGTCAGGTCGGGCGTGTCATCCTGCAGAGGGCTTTGGGACGAAAAACAAAAAAAGTCACACAACACTCCCACATGGTCAAAAATTAGTCGAGCGATCGTCCCCAGACTATTTTTTGCCTAATTTTGAATGTTCCTCCTGTAGAGGGACATGGCACAACGACTTCGCGCGGGGGGTTACGCGGGCGGCCAGCAAGGCACGCTGCATTGGAAACGAGGGCGCTTGACCCCGAAATCTGTCCCGAAGGACCCTCTCTAAGCGTTTCCCAATACGCGTGCACAGAACCTCTCCAGAAAGCGATTCGGAAGGTCTCTCCAATGCCCGGAGTGTTCCTCCTGTAGCGGCACATGCCCACCCCTAGCTGCAGTGGCGAACCCCCCCCGCCGGCGCGGCCCAGCACGGCGCTTCGCCGCCCCGCGGCCTCCGGGCGGCGTGCGCGGCCGCGGCGGCCCCGACGGCGTGGCCTCGGCCGAGGGGTGCGGGCGTTGGAGGCGCGCAGGAATGGCTGTGAGTTGTTTGTTGTTATATATTGGCATGTTTGTTGTTGTTGTTTTTGATGTTTGTTGCCGTTGTTGCTGTTGCTGTTGCTGTTGCTGTTGTTGCTGTTGTTGCTGTTGCTGTTGCTGTCGTTGCTGTCGTCGTCGTTGTTGTTGTTGTTGTTGTTGTTGTTGTTGTTGTTGTTGTTGTTGTTGTTGTTGTTGTTGTTGTCGTTATCGTTGTCGTTGTCGTTGTTGTTGTTACTGTTGCTGTTGCTGTTGTTGCTGTTGTATGTAAGAAACTGGCTTCTTGAATTCAGATCACTCGTTCTTTGAATTCACAAGCCGGTTCTTGAATTCAAGACACCCGTTTTTTGAACTCACAGAACCGGTCTCCTAGCACTGGCGCGCCTGAGGGTGGCACGCCAGGTCTGCGAAGCAGGCATGTCCGGGGAGGGGGCAAGACGGCCAAGGGACACCCAAGACGACCCAAGAGGACCCCAACAGGGCCCCAAGTGGGGGCGGCTCAAGAGAGGCGACTCGCATCGGCACTTCGAGCCATCCGTTCCAGGAGGACTCCCGAGTCCGCCAGCAGGCGCCCAGGACCCTCCAAGAGGCTCCACGAGGCGAGGGGGGAAGGACCCAAGCATCACATCCAACGCCTTAACAAACATTAGGACGGAGGCTATCCGCAATTTTCGGCCTCCAGGGGGCGCTCTTCTGGGTGCCAAAGCACGACCCAGGATGAGAACCCGGCCTCAAAGGGTCGGGACTTCCTGAAACATCCGATCTGTGGCGAGTTTGGCGACTCGCATACCTCCATCCCCTTGCCCCCCCTCCCTTCTCCCCTCGTCCACTCTCCGAGTGGACGAGGGGGACGCGGGGAAGAGGCATGAACGGATGGTGGAGGGAGAAAAGAAGAGGAGGGAGGAAGGTGGGGGAGAAGACGTGCGGGAGGTGAGGATGAGGATGAGGAGGGGGTGGAGGGGATGAGGATGAGGATGAGGAGGAAAACCAGACTAAGCCCAGGAACAATCAACGATGCTGCTGTGTACCCTCCCGTCCAAAATCTCCTCCTCATAGGTCCCTCCACATGCTCCCATCCGCTGCGGGAAACTCCTCCCCGGCATGTCGAGCGCCGGGTGAGCCTGCCACTCGGGCGAAACCACGTTCTGCAAAGGGTGCTCCCTTCTCATCCTTCTTGCCCTAAGAGGCGCAGCGACGTAATCCACCGACCCCCGCTTGCTGGGCTCGCTGGGGTGCAGAGGCGTGTGGGACGCCTGGCTCTCCCCCTCTCCCCCTTTCCTCCTCCCCTGGGGTTCACCATCCCGTCCGAGGGGGGGAGGGGTGGGGGGGGCGTGGGGCCGGCAACTCGTCAGGGCTCCTCCCCTGAGCATTCTCTCTGGGTGGAGGGCACAAGGTGAGATCTGAAATGCCGTTTCAAGTGGTTTTCGAGGCTTGAGTCTGCACAGGGTGAATCACAAGACGCACTGATTTTCGAGGTGCAGAAGCCCATCTAGATTTCACCCCGAGCCCTCCACCCCGAGAAAATGCTCAGCTCCCGGGCCCCCGGAGCCTCCAGATCCACCCTCCGTCGCTCCCCAGATGCACAGCATGCCCTCCCATAGGCATGGCTCACGAAGGGCTCCCACGCGCCAGAGAGGCCTCCAGGCAGACCGTCCACGATGGCCTCAGGACGGCCCACGAGGCCCCAAAAATGCCCGAGGAGAGCCCCACGAAGAACCACGAATCGCCCTCGACCGGCAAGCGCCATAGATCTTCTGAGCGGTTTTGACTTATTTTCGCATTCTCGCCACTCTAGGGTTCTGAAATCTCGTTTCGACTGGCCTCGGGGTGCGACGGGGAGAAGTTATCCATCAGGAGAAAGAATGGAGGAGGAAGAGGAGGAGGAGAAGGAGGAGGAGGAGGATGAGGAGGAAAAGGAGGAGGATGAGGAGGATGAGGAGGAGCAGAAGGATGAAGAAGAGGAGGAGGGGGAGGAGGAGGAGGAGGAGGAGGAGGAGGGGGAGGAGGAAGTGGAGGAATGAGGAGGATCAGGAAGATGAGGAGGGGACGGGGGGGTGGATGATTAGGGGCGAAGAAACCGCGGCCCCTCCGTCCAGGCCTCCCGCGCCGCGGGCAAAGCGGCGGGCGCGGCCGCGATGACGACCTCGCCGCCCTCAAAGCAACCCGCGTACTCGTCCTCCGAGCTGTCGGCCTGGCCGCGGGGTGTCGCTGTCGCAGCTGCCGCGGGAGGCGGCGGGGAAGGCGTGGGACGGCCAGCGACGGGGAGGGTTGAGGGGGATGCTACTGCTGCTGCTGCTGCTGCTGCTGCTGCTGCTAACGATGGTGGTGATGGCGATGATGACTATGATGCTAATGATGACGCGGATGCCGATGATGATGAAGGTGATGGTGGTGGTGATGGTGATGGTGATGATGCTGCTGCTGATGACGATTATGATGGTGATGATGAGACTAATGATGGTGCTGTTGATGTTGATGATGAGTATTGTTGGTGATCGTGACGATGATGGTGGTGGTGGTGGTGGTGAGGATGGAGATGGTGGTGGTGATGGGAAGGGGAGGAGCAGGATGAGGAGGAGGAGGCGGACGCGAGGAGGAGGAGGCGCAGCGTGCCAGGATAAAATCAATTTCAGCTGGCCTGCGCTGCAGCTGCTGCTGCTGCTGCTTCTCGAAACCGTGCCGCTGCTCCCTTCGCTGCTTGAGCCTCCAATCGGAAAGCGAGGCGCCTCGGTCACCGGGCAGGTGGCGCGGGGCGCTGGCACGCGCTGCCTCTCGCACGACCTCCGCCACTTTCACACTTCTTTCGTCAGCGGCAAGGCGGCGAACTCCGCTCCAGCGAGAAGCCAGAATGAGGGGCAACGATCGGGGGGACTGGCATAGGGGGGGATGCATCGACCTGGAATCGGCGATATATCGCCGATAGATCGGCGATAGGCCTCCGATCGTGGATCCGCACCTTCCTGGGCAGGTTGGGGCTATCGGGCCCCTATCGGCGATCAATGGGCGATTGGGGGTCGATACGTCCCCCTCCCTATGCCTATCCCCCCCTATCGTTGCCCCTGGTAGAAAGGGGCACGAAGTAGCGAATTGGCCGGCGGGAGCCATCAGCTTCACACGGTCTGGCTGCGCTGAGGGCGGCGCAGAGCGGGGCACCTGGTGGCGATCTGGGCGGCATCCACTAGAGAGCCCGCTTCCTGGACGGTCAATGCCCTACCTTTATCGGGGGTGCGCAAACATGGATTAGCGATCCATGGTTTTGGCGCGCGGTCGCCAAATCTATGGGTCGGAAGAGGTGCCCTCCCCCAAATGCGGCCAGTGCCGCCTCGTTCGGCGGCGTAAATCCGCGACTTGCCATGGAAACGGGACCCGTCGCTAATCCACGCCCCCTCGAACCATGTTTGCGATCGCCTGACTTCAGCACGGGCGAGACGAGATACAAGCCATAAAGATGGTAGAGGGGCCTCTCAAACCCAACGTGAACACAACAGTGGCTGGGATAGGAGACTTCAAAGCCCGAGAGGCTTGCAGAAAATACGCGGGCAACTTAACAACAAATGCTGGATGGTATCTGGCTCATTGTGGCATCCGAAACACACATCCTCATGGGCGTTGCATCCTACCTCCTACGCGCCACCCTCCAAGACAAGACCGCACAACAATGAAGGACCAAGTGGGTGGGATTCGATTCAGGGAACTACGGGGAGCTGACCATTCCCCCTCTGACAGGTGAAGCTGGCCTTCAAGGTGTTTCTGGGCTCGCTTAGCAATGAGAACTTCGAGAGGGGCAGATCATATCTGTTGAATGTGCGAACGATCTCCCCCTGCAGAAGGAGGACGATCAAGGGGAGGGAAGAGTACTGGAGGTTGAAGTAGAGGGAGCCCTCCGGAAGCCCACGAACGTCCAATTGCCTCGGTCCTCGATCGAAGAATCATCGATCCTCGAACGAATGCTCCTCGATCCTCGAACAAAGAATCCTCGATCCTCGATCGAAGAATCGTCGATCCTCGAACGAAGGATCCTCGATCCTCGAACGAAAGATCGTCGAACGAAGGACCCTCGAATGAATGATCCTAGATCCTCGAACGGAAGATGATGGATCCTCGATCCTCGATCCGCCACCTCTTCCACTTTCGTTTCCTCCGCACCAGTCCTCCTCCATCCCCCCTCCGCCCCTATCCTCCTCTTCGAACCTCACTTCACATCGATCCCCCTCCCTCCTCCCTCAGCGTCCTCACTCCTCCTCGTTCAGCAATTCTAATGATATTGAAGCTCTGTTCTGCGCTCGGCAGATCGAAGGTGAATGCAAGTGCAACTGGCGCCGCCAGATGACGGTCTTCAACATTGGAGCCGGACAGCAGGGTGCACAGTAACATGGAGGGCTATATGCGAACGCCTCGTCCCTCCCTCCTCCTCAACCCGCTTCCTCCCTCCGCCTCATCCCCTTCATTCTTCTCGGTCGTCTTCCTCTCTCCTCATTGATCCTTCGCCTCCCTCCTTCCCTTCCTACTACTCCCTCTCGATCTTCCTCCCTCCTCCTCCACCTCCTCCTCCTCCTCCTCCTCTTCCCTCCTACTCCTCCTCCTCCTCCTCCTCCTCCTCCTCCTCCTCCTCCTCCTTGGGCTGCGGGGCTACGTGTAGCTGTGCACCCCCTGCCTGTCAAGGTTGTGCACTTTGCTTTCGTGGAAAGCCGATCCGATCCTCCTCCTCCTCCTCCTTCTCGTCCTTCTCGTCCTCCTCCTCCTCCTCCTTCTTCTCCTCCTCCTCCTCCTCTTCCTCCTCTTCCTCCAGGCATGTCGGTTGGTGGGGAGCCCTGCCGCTGGACGGTGCAAGATTTGCCCTCTAACCTGCGTTGCAGGAAGGCTCAGCCTTGTCCGCTTGAAGTGTTCAATCCAATCCAATCCAATCCAATCCAATCGAACCCTCCTCCTCATCCTCCTCCTCCTCCTTCTCCCCGCTCATTCTCCAGCTTCCTCCCTCCTCCCCCATCCTCGATCCTCGAACGAAGGGTCGCAGATCCTCGATCCCAAACGAGGGATCGTGGATCCTCGAAGGAGGGAGGGAGGAGAAAGGAGGCGGGAGGATCAGGAAGATGGTGAGGGAGGAAGATCGATGAGGGGGATGAGAGGAGGAAAGCCGAGGAGGCGTAGGACTGAGGAGCAGGAGAAGGAGGAGGATCGAGGGGATGGACCGAGGCACAGAGACGAGGAGTAGGATGGAGGCGGAGGAGGAAGAGGAAGAGGAGGAGGAGGAGGAGAAGGAGGAGAAGAAGGAGCAGGAGCAGGAGCAGGAGCAGGAGCAGGAGGAGGAGGAGGAGGAGGAGGAGGAGGAGGAGGAGGAGGAGGAGGAGGAGGAGGGAGGAGGAGGAGGAGGAGGAGGAGGAGGAGGATCAGAGAGGATGCGGAGGAGGATCGAGGAGAAGGTGTCCTCTAAGTCGGTGGGGGGGGGGCGCAAGACTCGAGACTGTCGAAGTTGGGCGCTCCCGCGCGTGCGGCTGCTGCCGCTCTGACGCGCCAGCGCGGGGGGTCGAAGACGACCGAGGAGGAGGACCGATAATGAAGACGAATGATCATGGATGATCACAGATATCCGACGATCTAACTCTTCCAATTCGTGGCCCCAGAGCTCCCGACCACTTCTCTGGGGGTAGCTTCGTCCCGGATCTATTATCGATGGTCCCTGGGCCCGCTAACGGACCCCGGAAGCCGAAGTCGAAAAAAACGCCGGCACACAAGTCATCTCGTTGTAACTCTGGGAGCCGCGGCACCGAGGGCGCCCCAAGACCACCAAAAACCTCCGGAAGGCGACCCTCGATCCTCGGACCCCTGAGCCCGTCCTCCCCCCGGAGCATGGGTCAACCGATCCTTATCCCCACGGGCGTTGCCTGGGCCTCACTGGCCGATTTGCCCCCCCCCCAGATGGAGACACAGCCTGCTTCATTGCGGGCTCGAGGGGCATATCCCCACCTGGGGTGGTGGGATGGTGGGACCTGGCGCCCCAGGGTCGGGTCAGGTGGACGCCGCTCGCCGCCATTCTCGGGGGCCTGGGCACGGGCCTCCGCAGCTGCCATCCGCCCGGCGCGCAGTGCTGCCCAGAGGGCCTCGCCCCATCCTCGCCAGGCACGGCAGTGCCGCGGTGAGCGAGGCTGCTGAAGGCCTAGAGAGCAGCGCCTGCGCCGCTGAAGGCCCACAGGCCCAACTGGGGTGGTGGGATGGGGCTGGGGTTAGGGCTCGGTTAATGCTGTCCCCGAGGGAGGGCTCCCTGCGGAGGACGACGACGAGGAGGAGGAGGAGGACGAGGAGGAGGATGGCGATGGAGTCCCAAGCGAACCGCCCGACCCGCCCTACGGACGCTTCTGGGGGCGCGACAGGGAGGAATTGTTTATGAGGCAATGGGATGGAGGAGGGGGAGGAGGAGGAGGAGGAGGAGGAGGAGGAGGAGGATGATGAGGAGGAGGAGAAGGAGGACGAGGAGGAGGATGATGATGATGAGGAGGAGGAGGAGGAGGAGGACGACGAGGAGGACGAGCTGGGGATACTGACCCCTAACGCTGTCCCCGAAGGAAGGCTCTCTGCGCGCGCGGCCTCGCATTGCTCGGGCGGGGGGCCTTGGGCAGCGTCCTCCGCCCGAGCGGGCTCTGTGGTGGCGGGCGGGCCCGCGGCGCCCTGCCCAGGGGGGAGTGTGCGGGCGCGCGCGCGCGCATCTGCCTCGGTGCCCTCCCCCCTGTGCTGAACGGTCGGAGGAGGAGGAGGAGGAGGAGGAGGAGGAGGAGGAGGAGGAGGAGGAGGAGGAGGAGGAGGAGGAGGAGGAGGAGGAGGAGGAGGGGAGGAGGAGGAGGAGCAGGAGGAGGAGGAGGAGGAGGAGGAGGAGGAGGAGGAGGAGGAGAGGAGGAGGAGGAGGAGGAGGAGGAGGAGGAGGAGGAGGAGAAGGAGAACGAGGCGGAAGAGGAGAACGAGGAGGAGGAGGAGGAGCAGGAGCAGGAGGAGGAGGAGGAGGAGGAGGAGGTAGAAGAGGAGGAGGAGGAGGAGGAGGAGGAGGAGGAGGAGGAGGAGGACCAGTGTAAACCCAAGACGCATCAACGATGTCGCAATAAACCCTCCCTCCAAGCTGCGTCCTCGCAAGTAACTGAAACGATTGTTTTTCATTACGGGAAGTAGCCCAGCAAGAGACAACTGTCTGAGAACCCTCACTCG